TCCTTCAGACCTAATAGGACATTTTTTCATCAGTTATTGAAAATATTTTCTGATATTATTTTTATTCATTTCAGCTGCGTTCAAAAATCCAGGTATATTTTTTACTGCACCCATTCAAATCAAAGTATAAAACAAACTAGTTTGCAACACCAATGATATTATCTTGCGTAATTTACAAGTTTATTTGAGTGTACAAAAGTAATTTAACGTCATACTTCGCAATACTAAACTATCTTTTGCAGATGCGTTATTGAAATTTAAAATTGAAATGATTACCTGAAATCCAAACTCCATAAGTCCACAAAAAAACAGTGAAAAATACTGAGAACCACTGACAATTAGTCCATATGCACGCTTATAAATTTTGCAGCTTTTTTTATATTCATTTTATATTCGCTGATTATCTTTAGGGAGTTCCCAGAATTAACAAGAGTGGAATTAAATTATCACTTCTGATGACAATGTATTTCTCGCACCATTTCTACTCATATAACCTAGCATGCAGCTTTTAGTAAGACATGTATCTTGCATTTACTTGTTCTTTTTGCCCATTTACTTGTTTTGACACACTTGCTAACACGCTCTTCTCTATGCAATCATTCACTCTATTCAAAAGTTATTCATTTACTTGCAATTGGTAAATTTATGCATTTGATACAAAAACCAAATGTTTATCTGTGCGATAATAAAAAGAACAATAGCAATCACTTCTCTCGGGAAATCGCTTTTAAATACATTATTCGATGCTGCTGTTCACAAACGTGCATTGTAAGAAGAACAACATCAAGCAAAGAGCAAAATCGTGCACTACTTAAAATAATAATTCCTCTCTTATGATTATACTCATATGTCACCAAAAATTATTTTGGTAGTAGTATTTATCGCAACACCGGAGCTTAAAAAAGACAATATGTATTTTTCACAGCAGTGATTACAACTCATTAACGATTATTTGACAGATCAGATACCAAATTCGCTAAACATACCAGTATCTATTTACTACAATCTTATTTTTTTCTGTAGAGTAAAAGTAAACAAATTTTATAACATACCTATGAACTCTTTGAGCCGCGCAGAATATTAATAGGTCAATGTTTTTTAAACCTTTTAATGGGAATCAGTGTTTCAGGCATTTCAGTCGTAATGATGACTCTTAAAAAGTATCACAATATTAAAATAATTATTTTATGTGTTTGTTCTGTTCTTCTATTAGAGAAAATTATATCCTCTAAACATGACTTCTTTAATAGAATCATCAATCCTATTATTCACACTCTCACACTGTCTCTTGCAGTGTGAGAGTGTGAATAATAAAGAAAACAAACTATTGATTTGATCTAGTCAATCCGCAGCATTTCATTTTATTATTCTTCATATATTTAAATTCGTATATCTGAAAGCAATTTTTCATTTATACCGGTATGTGACTGTCTCATCCCTTTCTCTCTATGTCTCCCATATAGTTCTTCTGCTCTATGACTACTAAAATGCATTTCTTTAATTAAAAAATTTCCTTATGCAATATATAACTTCTTTGTCATTGGTTTATTTAGTAAAATATTTTTGCATGGTATGCGATTATGCACTTTCCCGTTTGTCGTTTTGTAAATCTGTTTTCATTTCTTTATTCAAAGGCAGTCGACAGTCGCTAGCCTTCATTTTCGCCTCTTGTAATTAAGTTTTTGAAAAATGTTCAATACAATTTTCCGCTTAGCATTCTATTCCTTCAAATACATAACTACAAGCATTGCCTCCGACGGCGTTCAGGCAACGTACTCTGTTTGATAATTCGTCGTGTGCGAGTTCTTAGGCATCCATAATTGTCGCTACGACTGTGGCATTCACTGTGACTATGCATTGCCGCATTTATTCCTTTTGTACATAATTTAAGCAATTTGATTACGATTTTGTTGATTGGATGTGCAACTTGGTGGCTTCTTAGCCATTAAATCGTTAAAATGTAGCGCTACTATCTTTCCATATAAGCCCACATTAAGCGTTTAGATGTCAGTGTCGGTGTTGTGGTTGTTGCAGTTATTGCCGCTACAAAATTGATTTGTCTCCTACTTTATTATCCAAAATGGACTCGTCAATGTGAAGCTTACGCAAGACGTTCTTCTATCTTATTTCGGTTATAAATTTTTTACACTAACAAAAAGAGTAACAAAATTTATCAGCGAGTTCAGGTTCCTAGTAGCTGCCATAAATATCAGGAAGTCAGCTTTGGAGCTGGTTTTTTACGCCTCATTGGCATATACTTAATATGTGAAGTTAATGTAGAAATCAAACAATTTTATGGGAAGTCGCTTCAGAAGTGTTGAATTGAAAATTTTATGGATTCTAAACTGTAAATATACAATTTTTATTTTTATTACAAAATTTTGAAACATAATTGAACTCATTTCGGCCGTAATTTAAGGTGTAAATCCAAACTGATATTGTAAAATTTATCAACATATGTTAAAAATGTTGATAAGTACATAAGTCATATAAAAAGGAAAATATATAATAAAATTATTACACATTTGATAGGAATTAGGGAAATCTTTACTATAACTCTGATGTAAACTCTACTTGTATCTTAATCAAAATTAATTATACTTATGTCGCCAATATTGGGGAAAATAGATGAGCTTACTGACAACACTATATACATTTTCAATTAGAAGATAAAACAGAAATAATTTTATTCTTTAATTTTTATATAGATATATATCCATATATATATAGATATTAAAAGAAATAAGCCTACTTGCTTCTGGGTTATACCCTTCTTATACTGGATATAACACTCGCACAAGATCTTTGATTTATTAAAGATTTCTTTTAGATAATCAATAATATTATTCAATTACATATCAGCTTCGTTCGTCCCCAGTATCCTCAGTAGGTCGTAATTTCAATATATACTGTGAACTTGATAAATTTGTCAAGTATTGACAATTAGTTCAGAAATCTATCAAGCAGAAAGCTTTTTGGTGTTCTGGGAAAATCTTGACAAATTTAAGAGCTCAAGCACTTAGTGCTTTTCACCACACTATGGTGAAAAGTGTTCTGTACACAAAAATCAAAAGCACTGTGGCGACTAGTTATTATATTCATATCATGACTCATCAACTTTATTTTTTTAAATTCGTTGTTTACTATTTAGAATTGTATAATGCATATAGATTATTCAAAACTATTGTTATATTTTCACAGAATTTTAATAAATAACTATAAATTCAGCAATTATACTGTTTTTAATTTTATTATGCATACAAATAACTATAAAAAATGATTGTAAAAAGTATATAACATATGTACATATTTTATATGTCAAGAGCATTTGTCAATTTGTGAATTGATCAAGAAAACAGCTTTTTATTTATAGCACAGAATACTGAACCCTTCATATTTGACCAATAGTTAGATGGTGAATAATTGTCAATACTTGACAATTTTGTCAAGAATACAAATTTTGAATTTGTCTCAGAATAGATCCGTATATGTATATATAATATACTGACAATGTTTACAGGCTTAATCTCAAAACACTGTTTTCCTCTTACAATTTTTCGAGAACCGTACAGATTAGTGAAAAGTCTAACCAGTTATTCATTAACGATACAGCTAGTTATCATGTTGATTGCAGTTATTTTTTTAATAATATACTCTGTATAATGAAAACGTCTAAATTAACTATGAATTCAAAACTTATTCACTGTCGTTGTGACTGTGAAATCTTGTTGATATTTATTTCGTATTATTATCTAACATTTATTAGTATTATAAACATGGCAGTTCCTTAATTGCATAAGGATATTTTGCACCTTCCTAACCATCTTTAATGAGCCATCTGGTTTTAATGGCAAATTTTTCATTCACACAATTTCATAACAGCGACGTATAAATTTTAACCAATCTGTGTCGAAGATTAAATTTATTTATATAAATTTGTAATATTTTGTAAAATGTTGAATGCAAATCAAAACTAATCGTTACGAAATTAAAGATTTAAAATATTTTTTATACATTATACAAGCCCAAGAAAACATAGGACTAGGAAAGAAGGCGCTTGCAATGTATTTATCCTTCTCGAAAGTACTACTTAAAGGCTGGTTTTTATTATTTCTATAGGACTTTTGCAGCATTTGAATGAATGAATTTATAGACACTTCTTTTGAAAAATAGAACAAATTAAATATTCCAGTTGAAAAGTTGAGAAATCGTGAAATGAAATGTTCCACTCCCTGACCAATAAAGCCAATATGCTTTCAAATGTTTAGGTAATTTTACAGACATAGTATAAAGTCGCTAATTTTAGGGCATAACCTAAATTATATATATTCGGAGCATGAGATTCTCAAGTCATTCCGCTACCCTTTAACTATGCGCCTTTTTGAAATTTCAATTAAAGCCGGGTTTAAATTTATTTATTATGAATGTTAGATTTTAATTTAGAAGTATAAATGATAAGTTGTTATGTGTGCATATGTGGTACATGTTCCCTTATATAGTATAGTATATAATATAGAATATAAATTAAATATTATATATTTTTTTAATATAAAAATGTAAGTGTTCCATTTTACAAAAAGCAGTAAATATAATAACTCAGTTAATAAATAACTTTAATAAATAACGCTAAATGATGATGGTATATCCAGAAGAGCCCTTCTGGGCATTACCAACTGTATCAGGCTTATACGATGACAATGATTACCGTGGTAAGTAGTATTTGAAGGCATTATATGCTATATAACATACATGCGCACTTAATAACGATTCCGTGTTATGAGTTAATATCGAACTTTGAGTTGCAATTATTTTTTATTTTTTAGAGTTTGAAATCGATATTTTTTAAAGTTTTTCTGCAAGCCAGTAACAAACATTACATAATGGAGTTACTTTTACAATTACATTATTAAATTTTTATTTATCAAAACTTTTTTTTTCTCTTCTACATCATCTTCCAATCCAGTTATAATCCAATTTTTTTTTAATTTTCCTTATTTTAGTCAATGTGGTGGAAGCTTTACAAGAATTTTGGCAAATGAAACAAGCACGTGGTGCGGATCTTAAAAACGGCGCACTGGTTATATATGAATCTGTTCCATCAAATAGTCAACCTTATGTTTGTTACGTTACACTACCCGGTGGCAGCTGTTTTGGAAGTTTTCAAGTAAGTGTTATTGCTCATCATCCAGCTCATGTCTTTAAAAACTTTTGCCAATTCTTATATATTTCTCAGAACTGTCCCACAAAAGCTGAAGCACGTCGCAGTTCAGCAAAAATAGCGCTCATGAATTCTGTATTTAATGAGCACCCCTCGCGACGGATAAGTGATGAATTTATCGAAAAAGCTGTACAAGAAGCCAGAGCATCATTTAAGGGAGAATCTCAGGAAGGTGATGGACCAGATACTGGTATTGGTGCATTCAGGTAATGTAAATTTGACATCAAAAAAAATTTAAAGATATATCGGCTTATTAGTAAAATAGATACAATATTCACCCAAGCCATCAATAGTTTTGTGTTACTCTATAGATTGGATTTTAGTAAAATCATTTTACCGATATTAAGAACAACAGTCATTAAAGACCTTATTAATAATTCCTTACTTATATTAAATTCGAGACTAGTTTTTAGTAATTTTGATTATAGCAAATAGATATAGATATAAACGTTGTTATATTTAGATTGTGCACAGTTTCTGCCATCTGTTTTCCATCATGAAAGCAGAGTGGGGCTTATGTTCATTTCAATTTTCCTTTAATATATTACATACTTTAAAAAGTTTGCTAATCAATACAAATTGATGTATTGGTCTGACTATCAATGATCGATCGATTATAGGTTTCAGGAAGTAAATCTAATTTATAATTTTGATATATCTCAAGCACTTGTTAGATTCTCTTAAACTAAAACAAATCCTCCTTCGTGGTTTTTCTTCTTTCTTATTTACTAATACCTTAGTAGTTTAAAACAATATAAAGCGAATGGATCTACTATGCGAATAGTTTCATCCATAATCACAGTATCGTCACGACTGTTTATTTAACATAGTAATTGGATAAGAACTTGAGCGTTTAACAATGTTCTTAAAAGAAAATAGTGTTCCATTTATACAATATATTTCATGATATTGGATTCTGTTTTATCTAATTTGTCAAGATTTTTATCATATTTAAAACGGCAATGATGTGTGTAATTGATCTTATCAGATCACAAGGTTTTGAGTATAACTTACTTTTCCAATAATGCTTTTATTTGGGATTTTATTCTTATATTTTATAATATTGCCAGTCAACCCCACGTCAAAATGTTCCACTAAACATTGTTTTAGTATTCTATTGTCATTTAGTTACTTATAATGTGCATATAAACTATTTCAATAATTTATTTATCTACTACTATCTTTTAGATTTATGCTTGAAGCCAATAAAGGACGCACAATGCTCGAATTTCAGGAGCTTATGACTGTTTTTCAACTTCTTCATTGGAATGGTTCACTGAAGGCTATGCGAGAGCGACAATGTTCCAGACAAGAAGTAGTCGCTCATTATTCCAATCGCAGCTTAGACGACGATATGCGCGCACAAATGGCATTAGATTGGATCGCACGCGAACAGGAAAATCCCGGAGTTTTGGGCCGTGAACTAACACAGGCCGAAAGAGAATTAGAGACTGCGCGCTTAGCTGGGCGTGAGTTACGATTTCCCAAGGAAAAGAAGGATATCCTTATGTTGGCACACAATCAAATCGGCGGTGGTGGTGGAGCAATAAGCAGCTAAAGTCGAAATCAAAGAACTACACGTGTTTGAAATATGAAAATAATTTCAAATTCGAAATATGACGATTTTGATCTCGATTTTTATAAAAACAATGAAAACAGCAAATATTTTTTTCTTAAGCTTAAGCGCTGCCATCGAAACGACAAAAACAGACAATATAATATGCATTATTTTAAATAGAATTTTTATTGAATTTTTATTTTTATTTTTATTTTTATTTGAAAATAAAATGTTTTCTAAAAAATTTTTAAAGTAAATTTACGAAATAAGCGAAACACGACGAGCTGCGAAACTCAAGTGAATGTGATTTTTATTTAAAAAAAATTAAAATAATTTTAAAAATTAAGCGAGATAATAATTTACAATCTTTTTTTTAACTAGTTAGTCTATATGTACGAGTACGAGTATAGTAAATTTTTTATATATGCTTTTATAAATAAATTTTTATATATTTAAATATTTTACTTTATGCTTAGAAATATGCGAAATTTGTAGAAAAATTACGAAATGAGCCTGCAAGAATAAAATTAATTAACAAATTTAATAAATTAACTTAAACGGTTATATATATTAATTGAGAAGAGGCAAATAATATTAAAAATTAATTAGAAAAAAATTTAATTTATATACAAAATTTGTTGTTTTTTTTATTAAAATATTGTGATTTTATTTGAATTGATTTGTAAAAATTAAAAGTATATAGCGTATTTTTATGAAATATTGAAATGAATTAAATTTAATTTATTTTAATTAAATTTTGTTACACGTCATGCGTTCTGAAAAGAAAGAGCGGTACATAGCTTTTAAGCCATTGAACTCGGAACTTGAATAGGTCGAGGAACCTTCTTGCTTCAGTAAAAGGCAATAATGAAAAAAAATAAAAAAAATATAAACAAAACTAATTAAGTTTCTCATTGATTATGCTAAACACATATTAAACAAGCACACATTTTAACATACGAACGATTATACATACATACTTAAATATAACTGCATCCATTTATTAATATATCTATATATATATACATATATATACATACATATATATATATATATATGTGTATATATATATAGAAACATATAAAATTTAATTATTACTGTACTTCTTATTTTTTAATTTTTGTAAAAATGTGAAATAAATTCATTAAAAAGTAGTAAAGTCAACAATTTTAAGTTTTTTTCATCAAACGATTCAATTTTAAAACTCTACAATCTTATATGCTCAGATCGAACCACCCTCTGGTTTACAAAAACTTACAATACTTGTATAACTTTTTGACTTAGCTCAAATCAATTTACTGAATCTACCTCTTTCCAACATTTATCTCTTCTTTCAACTAATACACCACCTGTGTTCTTCATCTCACCACGGGTTCAGCCAATGCAATCCAATAACTGATTTCATTGATTTCGCTTATAAAAACATAAAAACTAAATGTTATTCAAATGAAATTTAACTTTAACTTATTAAAAAAAGGTTACCTCAAAATTGGGAATCCCAAATGGAATAGTTTTATTTTCCGTTTATATATTACATATATTCATACATTGCGTAACAGCAACAAAAACGAATTACTTAAAGTCAAATTAGATATTATATTGCTTCCGCGAAGATTCCGACTTCCCGGGCTTGTTCATTTGGCAACGAATTTTAGTAAATTCAATTATTTTTTCACAATGCTATTTATTAATATGCCTTAGTTTTTGAGATGTTGAGCCGAAAGTTTGACAATTTTAAGTCAAAGTCAAACATAACAAATAAACACGCCTCACTTAGGTAGCTAGACACACGTATTTTTAAACATTATATGGTTAGTTAGTTGGTTCAATATGACTCAGTCAATTTCCACTTTCCGACAATTTCGAAAGCATGTAGCAACATAATTCCATTTTGTGAAAGGTGTTCGGTTTGAATCCAGTTCATATGGTTTAATAACATCAGCGGTTCCTTAATGTTAGGTACTGATTTACCTTGGTTGTTCTGTGTTTCGAAAGAACAATTCATGCACAGAGAAGGTAAAAAATTGTTTGCTTTTCTTGTGCAAGCTGTGGAAATCAGAATTGTGAGCATTTCTCATTTTCACCACCTACTTTTCAATAGTTTAAAAGTCATTGGTGATTGCGGTCAATCTTAAAAGATCTCTTATTTATCTGCTTATCAGCGAAAATTTCGGAGAATAACGATACAACTTAACTGATAAATATAAATTTACGCCTTTATTATATAAGGCGTAATATAAAACTAAGGCATTGTGACCAAACCCCTTAAAAACAAAAAAATATTTTTCTTCACATTACTCGTTGCTTTTCTGGATATACTGTGAAGAAATAGTATGTCTCCTAACGAAATGTTGAGTCTTATGACAATTATATCGTAAAATTTATTTACTCTGAAGAACGGATGATTTTTTTTTTAAGATTACTAAAGGTTCATTATTTCATTACATTTTGCTTAGCTCTGGTGACCAGATATCCATTATAATACTTGACAATCTTAATGTTTCTCAGAGTGCTAAACTATTATGAGCAATAATCAATTAGCTCAACTGCATTATGACATATACTTGTTCTGCTTTCAGCATCGATGAATGAAAATGTACAAATTACTAAGTTGTGATATAAAATAGCTTCTTTAAAAGCTACTTTAGCCACCAATCGTAATTATATTGTAAAATAAAAAATTCTAAAGTTAGTTGTTATTAATTACTGTACTAATAACAATTTATTTACAGTATCTCAATTTACTTAACAAATGCGCAGCAATAAGTACAACTTTTCTTAAAAGCTTAATACAAAATTCATACAATAATATGCGAATGAGGTTCTATGATTGTAAGCATAATCATAGAGTTAGCGTTCTAAAATTTTTCTCAATCGTTAATTGCCTTATAATCATAAATCTGACATATATTATTTTATGATGTGCCCTTTCTGCCACTTTTTGTCTTTAAAAATTTGTACTTATTACCGTCTGACCATCCTCCATAGCTTTAAAATGTTTATCTGTAACAGTTTTTTCTTTGCATTATTTTAGGGGTAGTATTACTAGTATCTGATTTCAACAAATTCTCCACCGATTTTGATAGTGAATCAATGTCATCCAGCCGCTAATCTTTATCCATGGCATTCTTCCAGCAAAGGCATGGTTTGCTTTGCTGCTGCTTATAATGATAACTCTCAGAGAAAACAGATACTGAAAAAAAATAAATAAAAAATAAAGTTTTGCTTTGAATTGAATTTTATCTTTTCCATATTTTTCCACCATTTTCTTGCTTTTTTATAAGACCAAACAAATAAAAACAAATAAAAACAGCCATTATAGTTATGACCTCACCGAAAAAGAATTGAAAATTTGCATTCAAACGTCTTTCATTTTATGCGTTACCGAATACGCAGTTACCGAGATATCCAGCTGCGCCTGAATAGAATACTCATGATCACGGTTGCCACTTATGGTACTTTAGTACCAAAATTGGTACTTTTTTTTTTTTTTCCGTTTGGTACTCATGTTCAAAAAATGGTACATTTTTGACGACCCAACTTTATTGTGGATATTTCCAATTAATTTTTTTTATAAATGCAACTTTGCACTATTTTATATTTTGTTCATTTATAACACTATGAAAAACACAGAACGAGAAAACAAAAAGGTCCAAAAAAGACCTTTTTTTACAGAAATGGTACCTTTTTAAACCAATTTTGGTACAGAAAAAAATTTTCAAGTGCTCAACCGTGCTCATGATACTCTTCAAGAGTAGTTATCACGTAAGATGTTCAGGTTTTTACATAACACTTTGAATAACGTAAATAACGTGAACGTTGACTTTGTGTGTTACAACGTCAAATGTACAACGTCAAACTTCTTCAAATGTACACCATACCATGAAGAAGTAAATCAATTTTTGACACTTCTCCAAAGTGTATTTACGGACACTTAATCCTATTAATGCATGCAAAGACAACTCATAATGAACAATTGCTAGCATTTCCCAATAGTTCATTTGATTGAAATTTGAATTTTTTGATTTAAAAATTCAATTACCAGCGTTTTCATACAAAACTAGATACCTTATATAGGACATTAAAATTTTAATGTATGTTATAATAACTATCGTAATAACGCAGTGGTAACTCTTAATTCTTTCGGAATTTATACTATCTTGTTTTGGCAACCCAAAGCAATCAAAATAAATGACAGCTGTCAGTTGCACGTGTAGTTTGATTTGTTGTTTTTTTGAAGGCTTCTAATATTAATAAATAATAATAAAATGGTTAGTCAATAGTTTAACGTAAATAAGTTATTTATTAATATTGTTTTGTTTGTATATAGGGTAAACAGAAGAAAACGAGGAAAATACAAAAGCAAAAAAATGCACAACTCAAACGTATGCTCAAGCCTACAGATTCGCGCATTAAAGAGGAGAAACGACATAAGCGTAAAAAACCAGAAAATCCACATGAACTAAAAGTGCATACTGCGACGCAACAAAGTTCTGCTTTATTCTTCCAGTATAACACACAATTGGGCCCACCATATCATATTGTGCTCGACACAAATTTCATTAATTTTAGTATTAAGAATAAATTAGATATAATACAAGGCATGATGGATTGTTTGTATGCTAAGTGTATACCGTATATCTCAGACTGTGTACGTGCGGAGCTGGAGAAACTTGGCAATAAATATAAACTTGCTTTACGTATTATATCGGATCCACGTTTCGAACGTCTACCGTGTCTACATAAAGGTACATATGCTGACGATTGTCTTGTTGATCGTGTGCGGCAACATAAATGTTATATTGTAGCAACTAACGATAAGGATCTTAAAAACCGTATACGCAAAATTCCAGGTGTGCCTATTATGTATGTGGCGTCGCATAAATACGCTATTGAACGTATGCCGGAAGCTTACGGTGTTAAGGCGTAAAGTAAATTTTTTTTAAATTTTAAGACGTATAATAACTGTATCATGATAAGATATTTACTAATGTAAATATATTTTTAAAAATATGATCAATGTATTTTATTTATCACATCGACACAAATTCATCACTTTACCTCTACATGTATGAAGAAAGCTTTCGCATTTTCGGTTTTATACACGCTTCCAGATTAATTTCGTACGGTGCTTCTTTGTGAAACTACTACGTGTACGGACATACATATCACTTTAGTTACAGTTATCTTTCTTAGGGCTACATTAGGTAAGCTTCATGTGGCTGTAGGCATCTTCGTAGTAGTAGGTGAATTTAAAATGTTTAAAACTCTACTACTACACCAATAAAATAAGCAACCAATAACTACGTAAAGATTTTTTAAACCGTTAAAGATTAGATCTTAAGTAGGATTGAAACCCAGATCCTGTGTGACGTAGTTCTAAAAAAACATACACATGAGTTGTCAGGGCAGTCTCTTCTAGACCTAATGCAAGTATTAAATAGAATATCAACATAACTAATTTTTGATAACATCATTAATGGCAATCTACTATTCTTCACTTGATAATGATGTACAGAGGTTAGTAAGTGCATACCAAGCAGCCAGCCTTAGGTCAAATCCCAATGAATGCAATGATTAATCATTTAAAGTTAATGATGTTTCATTGTAACATAGACTGTTACTTCCAGATATCGAATATGACCACTAATGTGATCTATTACCTTTCGTAGAAAAACTTAGGCCTGAACTATTTGTCAATGTATATTGATTCGGATTTAATTTCATCATTTCATTACAATAAAAATGAAAAATATACAATGAAAACACATGGCCTTGCTGTAAAGATATTCAAAATTTGAAGATGTGTTTGTAATTTTGAAAGAATTAGTTTTGCTGAAAAGAATTTCTTCGCATCATGTGTAGTACTTAATTAAGAAGATATCTCAAATGATTATTCTTTCACAAACCTTTTCTAATATCTATCTGAAATTTGATAATAGGTATAGTTAACACCTTTTTGTTAACTACGAAAACAAAAAAAATAGACGGATGCCAATCAAATTCGATAAGTTTTTTTTTTTTAAATCCGACTTATTTTTATCGCACCATATATTTGGCGTTATAAAAACAAAAAATTGTAGTTTTCCATTATATATATATGTACATCATCTACTCATCTCAATCGAGAAATTTTAATGTCTATTATGATATTCACTTCACCATATAGGTGAACTATTTTGTCACTGTATCGACTACATCATTCAGTTATCAAATGGCATACCAAATATCTTTTTCAACATTCATTTGAAGGGTTTTGGTGCATTTATGTAGTTTACAAGTAGCATTCGTGTTCTAATATCATTAGAAGTCTATTTTTTTCCTCTCTCCCCTGATTACTGGAATGAAATTTTCACAATGCTGTGGAGATCTTCTCCATTCATTCCTAAGAGGTGGTTTAGCGAGTTCAACACAGTTGTTGGTATTCCCTCATCGTTTCTATAATCTGTAAAATAATAAAAATTCAATCTATCAATAGTAAATCCACTTTGATGTGGTCTAACTATATTGCTTCTCACTTATTTTAACCGACGTTGAAAAGGCGCTGTCGGTTTTACTTTTATACAGACTCTTAAAAAATAAAGAATATTCTTGTTAGGATAATATGAACTTTTTAAAGTATACATTTTAAAAATGGAAAGAGCAACAATTTTCTTTTTGTTTTTAAAATTTTTGTTATTACATTGTTTTCTTTTAATATAATATTTTGAGTAAGTTAATTTTTAGGCGAAATCTTTAAGGTGTATTCAAATAATATTAAATTTATAACTGTTACGATATAAATATATAATGTGATTAGCGTTATTATTCAAATAAAATAATTCTTTTTAATCTTAAAAAAATGATAAGGTGAATGCATTATGATTAACAGAAGTAACTAAAGTGCACGTTTTCAAGGCATAGCCTGCTTAACTAATTGTGTTGACCTAGAAAAAAAGTAAAAAATTATTATTCAGAACTGAATTCATACAATTTGGACAAACTTACAATATCATCAATTTTGAGAATTGAACGAATTGTCTCAGTAGCTAAAGCTATTGCAGAAGTGCTAACCAACAATGGCTGCAAAACATGCTCCTCTACCATATCTGTGATAGCACCTTTGCGTACATTTATGCCAGCATTCTTGTCACCCTGAGCATGGCGGTTTCTCAACTCTGTAACAGTGGCAATTGGATTTAGGCCAGCATTCTCAGCCAAAGTTGATGGAACAATTTCAAGTGCATCAGCAAAAGCACGGAAACAATATGCGTCAACACCTTCAACAGTTTGTGCATGATTGGCAAGTTGAAGTGCCATTTCGATTTCAGGTGCACCACCACCAGCAATGCGTGCACGTTTTCTAACCAAACAACGCACAACACAAAGTGCATCATGCAACGAACGTGCTGCTTCCTCCAATACTAGTTTATTTGAACCGCGGCAAATAATAGAAACTGTACGACCTGGGTTTTGTATTCCAGTCACTTTGACAAATTTACTGCTGCCACAAGGAACTTCCTCAACGAGTTCAGCATTTACAAGATTCTCAGCGACAAAATGATCAAGTGAGGCTATGGGACGGCAATTCAAAGTTTTACAAACAAAAGGTATCATCTCACGCTCAATATCCTTTACAACTACACATTTGATTTTGTCGAGGAAATGTTGTGCCAAATCGGAAACAGCATCTCTAAAAATATATAATAATATGTATGCAATTTTATACTCAGTAAATAATATATTCTCTTTATTGCAACTTATATAAAAAAGGATGAGAACATGTTAAAAAAGAAATACTAATTTTCAATTTTGCGATACCACACTTAGAATTCAATACCAATTATTTTAAAAATGAATGTTTCCAAAAATTGTGTCGAATTCATACATATGAACAGATAATGTAAACCTAGCGGTCTCAGATTGTATTTTATTAATATTTTAAGAAGCTATCTAATAACCTTTAAAAATATATATTGGAATATATATGCCTATATAGTTTCATTAACGAAATCTTACAACTATTGTTTAACGATATATCTTGTGGAATATTTAATCGGATCGAATAAAAATGTCCTCCAATGTAAGCTGTACTTATAAAAATTAATTTTTAAACTAGCTTCACAACATAAACAGAAATTTCACAGCGTTTTAGATTGGACTCACCTCAAGATTGATTTCTGTACAAGTAGTACATTACAACCAGTTTTCTTAATTTGCTTAACAATATTCAAAATATAAGCACGTTCCTCCTTGAGTACGCGATCCATAGCTGCATAATCCGTTACAATAACACTGTGATCCATCTATCAAAAAAATTTGATTATATTTCCCCAACTTCGTGAGCATATAACAGTACAACTTACATCAGTTTTTGGAGCTGAAATACAAAATTGTATTAAACCAATTTTAGCTTTCTCGACGCGTTTGGGTGCATTTGTGCCTGAGGTACGTTGAGTGAATACCAAACCATTAACCATTGTAGTATCTTCAATGGTGCCACCTAAACTTTGTATGACTTTGATATTCTTCAAATCCACTGCATTTTCTTTGCCAGGTTCAGTAACCCACATTACAGCATCAACGGCAATAGGAGCCAATAGATTACTATGTTGAGAGACTACCTTCGAATTTAGCGAAGTAGATGCACTCTGAATCATTGTATCTCGATCAGTCAACTCAACCGGACTTGACATATCAGTGAGTATATCAATAGCTTTTTTGGCACATCTTTGGAATGACTCAGATACAGCTGTTGGATGTAAACCTTTATGTAATAACTTTTCACAGGCATCAAGTAATGCACCAGCAATGACAACAACTGATGTGGTTCCATCACCAGCTTCGACATCCTGTGCGCGTGAAAGTTCTACCAACATCTTTGCGGCTGGGTGCAATACTTTCATTTGCTTTAGAATTGTGGCACCGTCATTGGTAATTGAAACTTCACCATTACCAGCTTGTATCATCTTATCCATACCACGTGGACCCAAACTAGTGCGAATAGCATCACAAACGGCTAAAGATGAAAATTAATAAAATTATTAAGATTCCGAGCATAATTTATTATTAATATTATTTAACTTATTGATAATATCAAAATTATATAATCTCAACTCAAAAATTGCTCCGGATCGGAAAAATATTTAACGTAAAAATCGGCACAAATATTTTCACAACAAATTATATTGTAGAAGATGAAAATACAAAATATTTAATACTTTTGTCCTAAACCGGCAAAAGCTGGAAATGTTGGTTTATATGGTTATTCAAATAAGCATATACATTGACCAACTAAATGTATATATATTCTACAAAGACCCCACTCACAATTCACAGACCAAATTATTTATTTCATTTGTTTATTACTTAAGGATAATAAATAAAATCTAAAGGCTATAATCTTAGCAACGTTCTTTAATATGGCCCAGTACCGTATACCACAGTTTATGTACTTTATAAAACTGCATAAGATTTATTCAAAATGCGATAGTTTTGTTCCCAAAATTTATCTCTAAAATACAGTGAAAACTCTACTACACACACCCTCGGGCAAATTTCTTTACATATTATAATATTTGAAGATCCATTTTAAATATTTAAGATTGCACTGTGGCCTGTATCTTGAACCCACTCGTCGTGTATACACCAGAGCGCGTGACATGGATTTTACATGTCACGCATGAACATGATTGATTACTTATTTGTATATTATTGTATAGCAGCATTTGTGAGCGTAATATAAATTTCAAATTCCTATATATCTGTGTATGCGCAATATAGTAAACAACTTCATATGTTTACTCAACATCTAGGCGTATCATTCAAGGAAAAAGAACCCAAAAACAGTGAAAATGTGGACCATATTTTATTTTTTAATAAAAACGTAATGTTTTTTTAATAGAACCATTAAAATATAAAAAAATAATTGTGAGTTTTGTAATTCAACGAGTGTAACGTCCAGGAGATCCTAGTACACGAATAGTGTTCGCCCATCTCTAGAACAGATAACCAAGTGTGGCGTACACTTCAATTTGAAGATTTCACTTTCATATATAAGTTTGAGAATCAACTAAGCGATACAATGATCTATGCCATAAGCATAAATAGTGACAAATAGTTTTTGTTTATGGAATTACTACTTGGAGTACACAATACCTACAATGTATGGTCATGGTTCTCCGCCTGAGACCCAAGTTGAAATTCAATTGAAATTCCCATCCACCCTATATCCACTCCTCCTCCTTTATTCCCACTCCACTTCCCCAGTCACTACCCATTCTCATCCCAACCCATGTATTCGCCTTGTAAACCTTACATATTATCTACTTTGCAGATACCACCGAATTACTACAACAACAACTCATGGTCATGTTATGTAGAATGTCATGGTCATGCCAAATGTAAATAGGACTTCGTTTTCAATTGAAATTTTATCATTAAGAGAAACAAAATTTTAATAAACTAACGTGTCCCATCTCAGCATTATGAAGAATACTAATAATGTATAGAGAATCAACCTAATAAAAGTAGACTTAGCACAGGGAAACGTTTTTTAAGTTCGCAACGAGGTGAATATAATCTTAATTACGTTGCAACTATGTAACTTAAAGTATTCAAAGTAGTTACTTTGATTTAGTTAAATCACAATATTTATACCTCTTTAGACTAAATATATTTAGGTCCAACCAAAAAGAATCAATGTGGTAGTTATAGTATGAATTTAACAATTATTGTTTGACTATCTGCATACTATGTCGTCATGGTCATGACCAGACAGAAGGTATAAAAGACCATTCGTGAGGACTGACTGCAAAATAAGGCCCTTAAGCTGCAAAATGGCACTCCACATGGATTCTTCGTACATGCTATTTATAATATGTTAAATAATTGTTATAACACAAAAATTTTCTAGCGCGGAATGTTATTGGTGTAGCCTCTATGCAAGAGCAAGAAGTCAGATTAAGTTGTTGTCAGAGTTCGTATTTGCGTACCCATGAGCGGCTTGATTCGGATCACTCTGCTCACAGATCATGAGCCGGCAAGAAGCTCTTTACATACAATAGCACACGTTCACGAGCGAACCCACATATGGTACTTTAGTACCAAAATTGCTACTGCTTTTTCCATATGGCACTCTGGTACTCGTTCATAGAAAATGGTACTTTTTTGAAGCGTGAATTTTATTGTAAATATTATTAGAATATCCAATTAAATTTATTTATAGATGCAATTATGCACTATGAAACTAATATAATATTATGTATTGATTTAGTAATATTGAAGCTGCGAAAGGTAAAAGAAAATTTCGATAAGACTGAATTTTAAGACCATATATAATATTATGATATGCAAAGAACTATTTGATAAAAAAGATATGCACTATGTATGGTCAGTAAAAAATAGTCCGATTATTTAAATAATAAAATTGTTATGAATAAAAAGACTTGTACTGTTGTATATCTTCTTTACAATTTATGTATATTGTATTTTCTTATTAAAGATAATAGAACAAAATTGAATCTTGTTTGTAGAAATTGCACCTTTTTAAACCAATTTTGGTACAGAAAAAAATTTTCAAGTGGTAACCGTGAATGGGCTCACGCTCGTGAGCAAGTGTACGAGCTAAGGCTCATGAGACCTCATGCGTTGCTTACAATGTGGTGCATGCTAAAAAATTGAAAAAATATAGCATTGTTGTTGTCTTCATTGCACAATTTAGCACGTGCCATTATTTATTTGAATTTTGTGCGTTTACTTAATTAATCGTTTTATATTAATTCAAGCGTTTTAAATTATATTACATTGTGTTTCGCAAAATTTGGAAATAAAAAAATAAACATTTTAAACTTTAATATGAATGTAATAAAATAATTTGCTATGCGAAAAACCATGTATTATTGTTTCATTATATTTTTTTAATATAAATAGTAATAAGCTAAGGGCTATGTTATGCAAAGTGTCTCGGGCACGACATCAGTGCAATTGTTGTTGTTTTCAATACAAATTTTAAATTTGACAATGAGAGAAAAAACAATATGGCCATTCAAACTCCGGCATGAGAGCCGGTGTATTTGTGCCCCGGCACTAAGGCAAAACAGTGTTGCTTAGTAATAAATTTCAAAATTTGCGCCTTTTAGGAGCAAATTACTACAATTCTAATACGTTTTGGAGAAACAATGGCAGTAATCAACACAGCCTTTTTTTATAAATCGCTAATAATATAATTATTACACTTTCCGATTTTAAAGAAAGGCGTAAGTTCTGTTAACAATTATTATAAGATAATATAATAACAAATTAAAAGTAATACACAGCATCTATGAATTTTTTGTTGCTAGTTATTTTTGGTGGCAAATTGAAAGTGAGCATATCTACATTTCCTTTCAAATTAAGGCACAACCAAAAAGTATCAAAACACTATAAAAATACAAAATTGGCAATACAAAAATACAAAATTGACAGTCTGCCTAACATGAATTTTCGGCAAAGCCCAAAAGAGCGAATTTTGCCGTGCCCGAGACACTCTGCATAACATGACCCTAAGTTAATTTCAAATTATAGGTATACGAATCCTGGTTGTTGCAGTCGAAAGAGATGAATTTCTTTTTGAGTTTCTGATCGCACACTGTTAACAAGTAGCACCGTAACAGATACACGGTCGCTCTTAAAACCAGACATAATGGTCAATATAGACAACAAGAGATCACAAATTGCAATGTTAGAAAAGACAGACAGGCAGACAAACGAGGTAGAAATGGATATCGTATTAAAAGTAAATAAATTTGGCAATTCTAAATCTATATAGCGTGGTATCTTAACGTGCCAGTATTTAATCTCAATTGGATTTTGGTGTGCGCAAGTGACTTGGGATGGGTGCCTCTGTCACCTAACCGAAATCCACAAATTTATTTTTTCCATTATTAAAATAATTTTTTTTTAGTTTTGACATTAGAGCGGGACGGACAGACAATGTAAAATTAAATTGATAAATAAAAATTTATTTTCCAGTTAAAATATATTTACTCCGACATTTGTTTTAAATTTTGGGTCCTAGAAAAATAGTCAAAATTCGCAACCAAATTAAATAAGAGCGATAAAACAAAACAAATAGTGGAAGGACTGCATGCCAGGTGAGTTTAATTTTAATATAATTTGCAATGGCTGCAAAAGTAGACGATACATATTTGCTGCATTGGTTGCACATGAGAAGTGCCTCCCTCACACAGTGTTTTTTCTATATCGAAATTGTGTTAAATTAACAAAATAATGACGCCACTGTTAAATTTCAAAAAAAAAAATTAAAAAATTTTGCATTTTTTACGAAAGATGTAATTTTTACAAACTATATGACTCATTTAAAAATTTTCACAAAATTTCGAATGTTCTAGACAAGAGACCGGCAATGCTTCGCTTGTAAACAACTGCAACTTTAATTTAAATTTTTTCATTTAAAGTCAATACAAATGCGAAATTTCTTTTTGTTTTTTCGTTTTTTTCAATGTAACATGTATGTAAGTTGTAATAGTTAATTACATTTTACAACATTTAATTAATATTTTTAAACATTTCTTACCTTTTGCTGCTTGTATATTGGACAAACGTACATCTGCCGGCTTTGACTTATCTTTAAAGGCCAAAACTTTAGGTTTCTTGTTTACGGCGACTGCTTTTGGGGCCATCATTAGTTCACTTAATTGATTATATTTAGTAAATTATAATATACGAAGTTTTTAAACACGATTTCCGCGGATTACAATTTACTAATAACTTAAATGAATAGCAATGAATTCACACAGCTTGACTGACACCACTTGATATGAGAATGTCAAAATACAGTGCTGCCAAACTCTTACTAATTTCCTCCAAACAATGTTTCCACTTTTTCTTAGAACGAATGAACGAAATATCCTAAACATGTACTATAGTAATGCCGAAATTGTTGAAATTTGTTTTTACCATCATTCATGCCGGAGTAGAGTTATTCAAGGATGACAGTTTTTTGAATCGATAATTTTTTTCCCTTTGCAGGAACTAACACCAACAATGTTTGCCAATATTTTAATAAATTTCTTTAATTAGTCAATAATAAAATTATTGATATAAACCATTGCAAAAGAAATGTTCTATTATTGTTAAAAACATAACATCAGTCAAGTACACTTTTATTCTAATTTCATTAAACCACTGATAAAAAGATATGATTTTGTTTTGATAATCTTCATTTATATGTTAACATGAGGATAACACGGAACTATGTTTTGTATAATAAAAATATCTAGAGTTTTTTAAACAGTGTATATAAAAGACTCGTTGAGATTGATACGCCAAGATTAGATTAGATTATTATTCGATTATTTTTATATAATCATCTGTTCCTTGTTGTTGTGGTCAATTCAGCGAAATTTCACATTGTCTTTTTTACGTTTTAGGATTTCATTAGACATTGAAAATGGGATATAAATAAGTAATGTGTATATTTTTATTTCGCGTAGGTCCATTTTACCTACTTACTTTTGGTGGTTTTAAATGTTTATTTGTAAAACGAAACTTAATATTAAAAATGTCGTATCATTCGGTGAAATTAATATTTTTTGTGATGCCATTTGCACTACACTGCAAATAACCATATAACCACATAATTTTTAAACAAGAGTACGGATCGCGTATTATATTGGTTGTCTTAAAAAGAAAATGCAAAAATAATAGCATAACATAAATAAAATTCAGTAAAACTATAATTTTTAAAGGGTTAATATATAGTTAACAAGAATAAAATTGAATATTCTACTTCTTGATATATGACACGTTTGCAATTTTAGTTATATGATAAATTATATGATTAATTTAAATGATATTAAAATTTTACGAATATTTGAATTTTTCACTGTTTTCACCAAAGTATTTGCACACAACAAACTAATCAGATTACGTATTTTGGGTCGTTCAAGCAACTGATTAACATCAAAATGTTAAATTTTTTTATATGAAGTTTTTGAATCAACTAAGCAACTAATCAGTTGCCTGAATACCCGTAATATATACTGCTAAATAAATTGGTATATATCTGATGATTAGTCATTTTTAGAATATGAAAAAAATTATGTATGGAGTTTTGCACATTTGCTTAAAATTATGAAAATTTTGATACAACATATTTGTATTTATTTTTTTTGCTATTATATAAAACATATTTCGGATTTCATTTTTATATAACATAAATATCTTAGTTAAAATATAAAACAATTATGTTTAATAAATAGCTCTTAATGTGAACAATTTTAATATTGCATGAGCGATTATTATTTTATACTTTTGTTGAGAAAAATAAAACGTTAAAATAGACCAAATAATTTATTACACATTAGTTATGGTATAAATATCTTATTATTATTTTATATGTAACACTTCAACAAGTGTCTCAATAATTACTTCGTGTTAGTTCATATGTTAAAAAAAGTAATATATATATTTGCTTGACATTCGTATTTGATATAGAAATGATAATTATTTGATATGCGACATTTCAATGACATAAAAATTTCCCTTTGCTTTTATATAAGAAAATTAAATCTTTTTGACAGAATGTTTGTAACTCTTTCTCTTCGCGGTGTTGATTCGAGTAGAGTTAGAATAAGTTGCTATGTGGTTTTGAGTTAAATTTAAAACAAATAAATTTTGTCAAAATTAACGTAGTGTTAAATTATTCGTTTTGTTAATATTAGCCTTTGATTACACAAATATCAACAAAAATTTTAAACTCTATTGCTGAAAAAAAGTAAGGTTAGTAAATTAAATATTTTCAAAAGAAAAATCGATTTAGCTTCTAAAAATATTATTTACATGAAAAAAAAAACCATTTGATTTGTCAGAAGATTTAGTCAAAAATAAAAATTCATGGAAGTTACTGATTTTTTTGTTCCGACATTTTAAATTTTTGATATTAATCTTTATGTGCACGCTGCAATAAAAAGCGCGAACGCGTACGCGATAATTTAATAATATTTTGGAAGTTCTTGAAATGTTAATGATTATCTTTAAACATCAATAAAACGCAGATTTCAAAATGACGTATCGCTTTGGATCTATTAACTTGACGCGCTGGCAATTGGCTGTTTTACTTGGTACGCCGGTTCTGGTGGGCGTTGGTATATACTTTGTCAACAGAGCTAAGAGTTCTGATAAGAAGTCGCGCCGGCGCCTGACATCTTCAATTGAAACTGAAGATGATGCGTCTAATGCTGTAAGCTCTGAAAGTACTGATGCTAAAAATGAAGAACCGCATATGACACCTATCGAAGTGGCAAACAGTTTAAAGAACATGGGTAATGCTTGTTATCGCAAAGGTAAATATGATGAAGCTATTGCGTTTTATGAACAAGCAATAGCTAATTGCCCAGAAACGAATACCACCGACATGGCCATATTTTACCAAAATCGTGCTGCAGCTTATGAAATGCTTCAAAAATATGCTGATGTTAAAGAAGACTGTACTCATTCAATAGAGTACAACCCACGTTATGCTAAGGCCTATTTCCGTCGTGCGAAGGCATACGAGGCAACCAACCAATTACGTGACTGTCTTGATGACATCACTGCTACATGCATCCTTGAAATGTTCCAGAATAATAGCACTATTGTTTATGCTGATCGTATACTACAGCAAACTGGCAGAGAGGATGCAGAGAAAGCTATGGTGAATCGTGTTGCTATACTGCCTTCGCAGGGTTTTATTAACATATATTTGCGCTCATTTGTTAATGATCCAGTTCAAAACTTTGTTGTGCCATTATCTACAATGGCAGAAGATGCGGATGGTTTCTTGCGTGCAAGGATTGCTTTGGATAAAGAAGAGTATTACGACATCATACCTGCTTGTACAGAGGAAATTGAAAGATCTGAGTCAGAATCTCTATTCAAATCTGAAGCATTATTGTTGCGCGGTACGTTCCATCTCTTGTCCGGAAATTTCGAAGAGACCCACCAGGATTTTAATGAGATTATTAATAGTGGTGAGTAATATAAGCATTAATAAATAAATAAATAAATAAGACACAGTAGCTTCATTTTTTTAGGTTGGATAAGTGCTTTTTAGTTTTCAGTTTAATTTAACATATTTATTGACTGGTTGTGGATGCTCTTCAAATTATTTGAACATCAGTTAATAGGCCGTTATATGATTTGAATATATATAATTTAGAATATTATTGCGTTAAGACTATAAGGTGTTTTGCTTTTTTCACCACTAATAGTTCATATTTATCATTAATAGATATTCCTTAGTATTCATTTAGGTTGTACATCAAGAATTACTTATTAAAATTTATATTATTTTATTGAGTGTTTTGGTTTATTATAAATTTTAAACTATAATGGTACATGCAGTGGCGTAACTACAGGAAAGCGAATGGAAGCAACGCTTTCGGGCCCCCGAATTTAGGGGGCCCCATTATAAATTTATGTATTCATTGCATTTATTTTTAATAAATTCTCAAAAGTGGGACGAAACGTTTTTTTATTGGAATATCTCCATATTGCATTTTATAAAAGATACTTAAATTTTAAATTTAAAGTACATAATATGTATGTACTTCAAATAAAACGTTAAACCTATTTATAAAATAAAAAAATTTTTCTAAGAAAAATATGTGTCTTAAGCGAGAGTTTATATAGAAGCTATATCTAGATTTAAACCCATTTGAAAATAATTTTGTACGTTGTCTTATGCAAATATCAATACAGTATATACCAAATTCCATTCGAATACATTTATTAAAAACGGAGAAACCTCATATCCGATTGTTAAGTTTATATCGCACCTATAAGATATATTTCAATCAAATCAAATGGTGAACAGGGTACGCTCCCGAAAAGTATGTGTGTAAAATTTCTTTCGTAGAGTTCAAAAGCTGAGAGAGTAGTTTGAACTGAAAAAGTATATATATACTGTACTGATATATACTTAATGGTATTTCCGACGTTTCCTTTAATGCATTACGAAAATCTTGACAAACCTTATATACCGTTTTTACATTTTTTTCGTGTTAAGGGTATAAAAAGATGTTAGTAGGGGCAATTAGTTAGAATTTGCTTATAGGCCTAAAAATGTAGTTACGCCACTGAGTACGTGTAATGTAATGTAAGCACAGATAATGTACGAGTGTTTAAAAAATCAAAATTATTTGCAGTTCAATAAGTTTTCTGTTTTTGACTAAGTCTTATATTATAATTCTTCATGAAATATCAATAATAAAAAACTTACATTTTTTCAAATATAATCTGCACCATTTATATTCCCAAAGCATATAGCAATAACTAATAAGTATTGCTAATTTTCATTTTTAGGACGATAACCTCATGAAGAAATTCTAATTATATATAACATATTATCGCTACTTATTTATAAAATAAATTAAATTACATACTAACAATATCTTAATGTTATAGCAGCTACCCTTTTTTGAGTCGCCAGTCTATGGTAGTATCCTGGTGACAAGCGCTTCTGACCGTCTTAGTTGATAGTTAATTTGGAAACTTATACTTCACTTTTTCTGTAAAAGTTTAATGTCTAATAAGAAATTTTATATCCTACGATATAAAACATATCTTTGATAAGAAAAGGGTCTAATAGTGAAAAAATGATTAAATGTATACCGTTTTCATATTCATCATCAGGTCTAATTGAAAATCGTTAGTAAGTTAATTGTCTGCACAGTATTTTTAGACTGCGAGTATCAGGAATTTAAATATGATTAAAAAAATGTTTGTATTGTTTATGTTAAAGATAAACTCAAGTTTTATATATACCAATATATAAAGATGTACATAAGTATATAATTTATTTTTATTTCTTTTTTTATTCTGTATTAACAATGTTTCTTTTTGTTGCTTTCGTTAGATATTGCTGATATAGCAATCCGTCAATATGCATTTATTAGGCGTGCTTCATTGTTTATTCAATTGGAACAGAAAACTCTTGGTTTGGCCGATTATTTGCAAGCTGAGCAGCTAGATCCCAATAATCCTGATGTATATCATCAACGTGCCCAGGTGTATATATTAATGGATCAGTTGAGCGAGGCTCTTGTTGAATTCAAAAAAGCTGTTAAACTGGCACCAAATCATGGTATGGCATTAATTCAGAAGTGTTATGCTGAGTATAGACAGTCTTTACTCTCGCAAAATCATTTACGTCTTGCTACGGTCATTGATGATTTTAGAGTTGCTATTGAGAAGTTCCCAACATGCATTGAATGTTACAGTTTAATGGCTCAGGTTTTGACTGATCAGCAACAGTTTTTGCAAGCTGATGAGTATTATGCTAAAGCTCTTACATTGGCACCAAAACATGCATCGCTTTACGTACATCGTGGCATTTTGTATTTGCAATGGAAGGGCGATGTGGATAACGCAGTACAATTCATGAACCGTGCCATTGAAATAGACGATAAATGCGAATTGGCTTATGAGACTCTTGGTACTATTGAAGTTCAACGCGGTAATTTGACAAAAGCCATTGAGCTGTTCACCATGGCAACCAAATTGGCCAAGACTAAGGCTGAGATGTGTCATCTGTTTTCTCTTCGTAATGCAGCGATCGCTCAAGTAAATGTGACCACTAAGTTAGGTATTGATATGTCAACAATATCTACATTTGCTCAAATTAATAATCAATCATTCAATCCAGCACCAGTTAACAGTACAAACTAAATCCAAGACTCAAAAATTTTAATTTCACTCACTTTGACCCTTAACTGCTCTTGATAGTCAATTTAATTTGGATGGTATAGAACGAACATTTTGTATTTTATGTTTTACGCGAGTGTATCAAATATTTCTGCATAATTAAATGATAAAAATTTTAATGTCAAAATTATTTGCAAATCTATATATAAAATTCATTTAATACACGCTTCTATCTTTAGTTTTATAAAAATATGCGTGCATATGATTTTGTATATATATAGAATTGCAAATGGTGTACAAAAATCTTTAATCATAAATTGAAACAGTGATTATGTAGAAAATTATATATATGTCGGAATAAAAAAACTGTTCAAAATTAAATTGTATAAAATGAGCATTATAAATTAGCATTACATAAATAGCAATAATTAAAAATGTTCATACATCATACCAAAATTAATAAAACACCAGTCGAAGAGCTTTAATAATTTAATTATTTTAAATAATTTATAAAATGTTGATTTGTTTTAAATTGTTTTAGTTTTGATAAACTTTAAAAAATCGCATAACCTAGCCAAGTTAAGGAAGTGTTAAATAGTGTATAAATAATATAAATATATAATACTAATAAATAAAAAATTTTGAAATTTTATATACTTTTCAGTAAGCTAGATATATATAAAACATAAGTTATACTTTGATTAAAGAAGCCAGTGAATTGCTGGTTATTAGTATATATCTATATGTAAGATATATATTAATACTCAAGGAGACGATAACACCTCAATAAACTTTTTGTATTAGTGGTACAAACTCAATAATAATTGTGTTTCATTCAGGGGTGATCTGTTCAGCGAATAGGTGAATAGGTTAAAAACAATGGCACGTTCTGGTTCAATGTGGAAAAAAAAGTGTAAAGCAATTATTGAGAAATATTGTTGACAATAAATGTTTTGCGTAGGCTATAGTATAAATAAATACAAATCAAGCAAGAAATCAACAAATAAACAGCTGACAAATATGGTACGTTTTTAATTACTTTCATTTTTTAAAAACGCTTCCTATTTCACACTTTTTTTATTCAACCATATCCTAGCCCATATGAATTCGTATTCATAATTATTTTGTTGTTATTTATTTGATCTTCGAAATAGGTTATAATGATTATAAGTATTTATACGGAATTGATTTGATCTAATATATATTAAGACTGATTAATTAAATATAAATTTATTTATAAAAGAATTCAGATTTTTTAATAGATAAGAAAACAGGAAAAAACTTTATGATCACAACCAGCCAGCAACCCAGCCGGAACAATTGTTAAAGTTCTATTCATTCTACAATATTAAAGGTTCTTATAAAAGTTAATCATTTTAAGTTAATAATTTTAATTATAAAAGTTCACAAATTATTTAATATTTAAAAAAATATTAATATAAATATATTTGTAAAAGTTGTTGGCAAAAATTTATTGGTTTTCTTCCACAATTGGGTCCCAAATCTGTCGTTCGTTATATACCAAAAGTCCATATATAAAGGCTGAAATAAGTAGAGAAATAGACGCAGACCAAAAGATTAGATTCCAATTATCTTCCGGAAACTAAAAAAACATAAATATATGTATTCATTCATTTGATAAAAGTAAAATATTTAATTGTTGGGAAAATGAGGGAAAAGTACAGAAAGGTGTAGATGGGAAAATATAACTCAGAATAAGACATAAAAAAGATGCAAGAGATAATAGGATAAAAAGTGTTTATATGTGACAAGTAAGTGTTTGGCATTTAGATGCATTCTCAGTTGAGAACCTTGTTGTGATGCAAACGTAATCTCGAAAAAGACATTGCGTCCGTATGAAGGGCGTGTATTTCTTATCAATACTTGGCTCTCTGCTTACTACAATTAGTGTCAATTAGTACTTCTATTTCATACTATACGCAGATGGTTTTTATTGTAAACTACTGCTTTTAGTTAGATCTGAGGTTTATGTGTTTAATGTAGTTTTTTCAGAGTTAAAGAACAGTCGATATTTTAAAATACCAAAAGTGGGTTTGGGATATTCGTTTCTCTTGGTGGTATTTATTTTTACCCTTATTATATTTAATGTACTACAATTTATAATTTTGATTAACGCTTTATTTTTAGTAATTTAGAGATTATTGATTGTTGATGTTATCGCTTTGCGAAGAACACGCCTCTATATAGTAAGCTAAGAATATTTTTTTTTATATGAGATAAATTTTATAAAGTTGATGAATGATCACAACTGTTGAATGGCGCATATAATTGCCTTCTTCTTTATAATATGCGCTCTCCACGTAAATCCATTATCTAGTGTTAGACTAAAATATTTAGCTATGTTTGCGATATTTAGTCTGTTTTCTTTTCTTGGGAAAGGAATAATAAAGACGAATATATGGGTTAGAATGTAGTTTGATATTGGTAGTGAGAGTGGAGATGGCATTATTTAGGTGTGAGAATGAATTGGTGGATGGGTAGGATTAATATTGAATTAAACCAGGATCAAAACGGAGAAACTTAGCCACTTCTAAACGGCGGGTCCAAAGATCGATTGGACTTGAGCCGCAAGTAGCTGGTCTACCCTTTGCAGGTGTTAAGACCTTGTCATTTACTCTTCATTTTTTTTTTGGATTAAAGAGAAACTTAAATACATATAAATATATCTTTTTTAACATAACATTCATATTGTAGGTCAAATGTTGTCCGGTACTTATTTAGAGAAATTTTTCATAATTATTGAATGGTTTGCATTTAAATAAGTTTTAGTGAGATATACTGTAAAGTGGATTTATGTAAATAATAGGTCTGTTCCACGGGCTACTCGTAGTAACTTTGAGTAACACTATCTATACACAAGTGCGTTTCACCAGCAAATTTTTAAATGCGTTTTCCACCAGCAGTTTGTACTTAACTTATGTTTTATTTAAGTTTTACTACAAGTAGCTCGTGGAACAGACCTAATATGTATCAAGAAATTTTTTTGAATTTATTTGTACCTATGTATATTATGTACATAATATGTATATATGTTTGTGTATGTTACATCCCAGTAGTTCCTGCCGTAAGCACATAAAAAAGATATGCCTGAGCCTGACATCATGTTTATAAAAGAAAGTGAGAAGTCATCATACTAATAGAATGTACTGGTAATGTATCATGTAATGCGGCTCTCTAGCGAAAAAAACCCTTATTCTTTGTGAAATTAACCAAACGACAGATATTTTTTATCATATTTGGTGTTGTTGTATTCGTTTCTTTAAAATTATTCAAGCATGCTCAGTATTTGTATGCATTCAAGTGCGGGCCGTTTAATTTTTCGTTGCGTTTTGCTATTGTAATTTTTTTCAATTATTGTTAAATTTTTTAAAATAATATATTAATTATTATTTTTCGTTCGGTTTTTCATTCGCCATTCCAGTGTAAGTTAAACCAAAGAATCTATAGTGCAAAGAAATGCCACGCTCATACAAACGAAATACCCACTTTATTTTGCTGGTGGATTTATAATAAATCCACCCAACCTCATGCAACAATGTTCGATCGAGTCACAACTGGTATGATGTCCAGTTCAAACCTATATGTGAGTCGAGTAAGGCTGACAAAAGCCCGACTGCATACGTATTCAATCATACATGCAACCCTCTGTATTACATTATACGCATGTTTGTATGTTTGTTCGCTGTAAAATGTTCAAACGATCAAACAGCATTTCAGTGACGAAGTCAAAATTGTGTACATTTGATAAGTTTTTGAATTTAATAGCATATGAAACAAAATTACCTGTTTGATATTGTTATGAATTGTAGTGTAAAAACACATTATAAATTTATTTATGTCTCAAATCTGATTTTTTCCTTTTTCTGACTTTTCCAATTTTAACATTTCAATCCTTTGTAAATAGCATTCATGCGCTTCCTCAAACCAGGAAGCACTATTAGTGGTTTTAGTAACTTCTATACATTTTTTCAATATAATTTTTCTTACTTTTCTAAAATTTTTATTTTCTTTAAAATACTTTTCAAACACTTTTATATGAATCTTAAAAATATTTTTTAAAATAATCACAAAAACTCACCAAAAATTCAAACTATTAAGAAGTAGTTCCTTTTGAGGTAAAATATATGCACAAATGTGCAATAAAAACATACATATTAATATACTGCAGACTTAATGTCTCCAATATCACATTTGTACATACATAATGGTTTTTGTAGTGCATCATTTGTTGCAATAACAAAAATAATATATTCTATTACTCTTTACTCCTATGATATGGGCCTTTCCAGTACAAGAAGATAAAGCAACAAAGTGTATCGAAAAATTATTTGAGGGATTTCTTTACCATTCACTTCGCTACTAATCAATGTATATTAATAAAATAGACAAATAAAAACAAGAAAGGCAAAAGAAACAGGCGTATAAAAACAATTGTGGGTTGCAATGAGTTTGAACTGGACGTCATACCAGTTGTGACTCGATCGAACATTGTTCCATGAGGTTGGGTGGATTTATTATAAATCCACCAGCAAAATAAAGTGGGTATTTCGTTTGTATGAGCGTGGCACTTCTTTGTACTATAGATTCTTTGATAGCAGCATGACGGTCCCTACTGGGATATAAAGAGTAGTAAAATACGAAAAAAGTTTTACTTACCCCGTCATCAAAAGCGTTTGACGTGGTTATTGTGAAGAGTATAGCGAATTGACCAAAAGAATAAGTTATAGAAGAAAAAGTGCCTGTAAAATTTTGCGTAACATCTAAAGGAGTTAATATCAGGTTTATATAGCTAATGCCAAGCGATCCGTAACAGAGCAGTGTACTGACTTTAGTGTTCCGGTTAAATTTTGAGGCTCCAATCAAAAAAAGTGCAGCAAGAGAATTTGCTGATAAAAATTGTATTCATTTTAAATAAGAGAATATACCATTTGAATCCACATACCGATATATATGCTGTACGAACGAATATTATTAATGCTCTTAAATATTTTAAAAAGGCCCAAGTCAATAATCAAACAAGTTATTATTGAAATCAACCAAAAGCACCATAATGCTATTATGAAATCATGTTCGGTGCTTCTATCGACTGATTCCTTAAGTTTATCTAACTGAAGTAAGCCGTAAATGATAATTCCTATACTCCAAGCATATAAGAAAAGTGCAGTTATATAACCTTGAGTTTCACGATTCTTAAATATAGCTATCCATGGTATAATTAGTTTACGACGATATTTAGTAGTCTTTAGCTCATTAAGTAAATACTCCTTCTCCTTCTGTCGAATTGAGCGATGGGAATAAGGGTCGTTAGAGCAAAGAAAGTACTATTAATGAGGAAAAAATAAATCATAGTTATAAAAACATTTGTAAAATATTTGTATAATTACATATTGATAGATTTTATAATAATTAAGAATAGAAACACATACGGTGTGTTCTTTGCATATTTTCATTACTTACAAAGCTAAAAACCCACAATATTGCCAAAATTCCGATACAGTAAAATATTATTCCATATAAGTGGTTAAGGTGATTGGTTTGTATATTGATATAATAACCGAAGATCATAACTGCAATGTAGGCCCCCAGTGCAAGACCACAAAGTAAGCTACGCTCTTTCAGTGGACTCCAGTGCGCAAGTAAAGTATAACTAGCAGGTATCGCAATGCCAGTTGATACACCAGTCAAAAAACTTAATAAAAATAAGGATAAATAGCCCAGCATTGAAATGGCAAGCGGAGTAACGAGTAAAAATAATGCAGCAAAACTAACTGCTGTCATTAATACATACTTCCCGCCAAATTTGTCAGCGATAATACCACTGGGAATAGCGCTTATAATAAATCCACAAAAATATGCTAAAGTCGGTAGCCAGTAACTCAGTTTTCCATAAATACTAGTTGGAGAGAAAAGCTAAAAAAAAGATTTACATATATTAATATAAAAAATATTCAGAAAATGGATCCAAGATTTTGTACATTCAAGCGCACCTCATAAAATAGTTCAAACCTCCCTTCAGGTTCACAAATTCCTGAATATGTAATGGTACCATCATCTTTATAATATCGTAATTGTGCCTCGATTTCAACTAAACCTTTTAATAAAAACAGTAAAATGTTCGATAAGATGATAGCAAGAAATATCATTATAGACAGCACGATTCTTTGACGCATTGAGAAAACTAGTAAGGCACCCTCGTACTTTAAACAATGAGACTTAAAGACTCTATATGACTACTTCACACATCACTGTAACCTGTAAATAAATGGAAGGTTGTCAACAGTTATGTCTGTCGGTTCTGTGAAATGAACATTAGGTTAGATTGTTATGCCTTTATATAAATTTTAGAAAAATCAATCCCAAACTGTGCTCATATTTATTAATAAGCTAAATATACAATGGTAAAATAGTTGAAAAGTGTTTAATTCTGGATAACGAATTAACCTATAAAGGAAAGTCTTTTTTGATTATTCCTCGCTTAAATTCTAGTCCATGTTATAAATAAAATTTTTTTAAAATTTGACAGTTTAAATTTCAAGATTTATTGTTTACATTAAATAGATGTCATTGTTATTATTTACACTATCATGTACGTGAGATGAACTTGACGACAATGTGAACTGACTGTTCAGTTTACACTATCATGAACTGTCATGTAGAGAGAAATTTCCCAGTAGCAGAATACTCAAGGCCTTGTCAAAAAAAGGCCTTTTAAAAGCACTCCATCAGAAGGTGTAATGAAATTCACATGCCTTTTGTTAAAGTACTTTAAAAAGGCTTTTACTAAGAAGGCGTCACTAAAGGAGTTGATGCGCATTGCGTACACGCAAGCGGTGTTCAAATCATATTTGCATGTTTTGTTTTTAAGTATATCTGTTTTTTTTTCGTTTTGGCTTACCTTTGCTTTATTTCGTTGTAGTCTAGATTACTGTCTCTTCTTTGTTAAGTTAAATTATTGCAAGTTATGAAATTCTAACAAAATTAGTCCATTCGTGAATTCGAAAGTAAGCTGATCGCTAGTGAAATAATTTATAAATAGTGCTTATTAAAAGTAATAAAAATATATAAACTAATTAAATAATTAAATAAACTAATTAAAATAAATGAAAAGACAACTTAACTATAAATTGTAACGACATAAATTTTTACAATAAATTTTTGTGCTACATATTAGCTAGAAGAAGAAAAAAATAAAGTCTGTTCGTAAACTAACTACCACCGCTACACACCATATAGAGAAAATAACTCACATGAAGAAAATTGAAGCGGAGTTATCTAAAAAAATATGAAATTGAATTAAAATGTTTATTTAAAATATCATGGACATTACCTGCGATCCCCGATTCCAACGTGCCGCGGGCACCGATACATGTGCAGAATCTAAAAATATACGAAAAAAATTTAATTTGTTTGTTACAAATTTTATGAATGAAAACAAAAAAAAAAAAACTTGTAAAGAAATTCTAAACACAACAACACTGAACAGTTATTACCGAAAACACGTTTAATTATTAAACAAATATCTATTTAAAATATATATAAATAAAATAATACACAAAATAATTTAACACTCATGCTTGTACAATTTTAATTTTTATACACGTAAACAAAACAAACTACGACAATAACTAAGCACACCAACACTATTTTTTTTGATTATTTCTTTGTTTTCACATTTAGATTTGAATAATATTAAATTCACAAAATATATATGTATATTTCATACCCTGTTTTGAACCATTTATATACTTTATTTTAAATAATAAAATATAAATTAAAGAGAAAAAAAAAAACACACACGAAATAAAAAACACTACGCGTAGTAAATACTCAAAGTCGCGGCGAAGTAAAAGAAGAAGCAGTACACAGTAGAACACAAAAAGTTCAACTTCACGGCGAAGTGAACTACAGCAAGTAATACCGGTGCGCTACACCAAAAAGCTCCGGTATGCTCGATATAAAAGGAGGAACATTTCATGTAATAGGGGACTTGGTTTTTGACAAGTAAAGGAACAAGTACTCTGGCTCATTGAGCCTTCTGGTAAATTTTACCAAAGACTTGAAATTTTACTTATCCAAGACAAGTACACTGGCCTATTGGTCACCTGGCACATTTTGCCAAAAACCTGGCTCCTTCAGCCAAACGTAGTCTTATGTATATTATTTTTTAACCTGGCTCATTCGGCCAAATGATTACTTTTACAGTACAAGGTATTCATTGTTTTTTTTAACAACAGAGGAGAGGACCCAGGACGTCACACTGTCCTACCAGAAATCTTTTAACGAGTAACACACTGGGGAGTAATAATTTCTGTCGTCAACGGCGATCCATACATATTTTTTTTTATTTAGAAAAAAAGCAAAAGAATGCTTTAAGTGAATAATAACTTATTATATTTAGAATTTGTTTAATTATACTTTGTTAATAATAAGTCTTTTTTTATGAAATAAATAAAAATATATAATTTATATATATAAATAACGTTCTTTCTTCTAAAACAACGTCTCAGCGAAACTATAAATAAAGTGTCTCGACTCTGGACGACGGCTGAGGATACCCCAGCAAAAACTAAAAATTTTTGAACGTCACCCAAAGTGTCGTTACAAAATATTAAATAATAGTGCAAAACAGTGGAAAATTGTACGTAAAAATTGTAACAAAACAATTGTAAGTATACTTTTATACCTGTATGGAATTATATTTAAAGTTGTCATTAGTGCATATTTTTTTCAGTTAGTATTTTTGTTAAAATTAAACAACATATACATTGTCTAATATTGCATTATGTTACAGAAGCTGCAGATACTGAAGTCCTAAGTGAAGAAAATTATAGGAATGACATAAAAAAGGGTTTCAAGGTTGCAAAAAACAGATATTATAGAGTGGCTTGCATCAAAAAAAATCAACAAAAGAGATTAACTAGATATAGTTATAAATAGTTTTACAATATTATTAGTTTAATAATGTTAATTTAAGTTTAAATAAATTTTAGGTATAGTTATAGATAGTTTCATAATATTATTAGTTTAAAAAATGTTAATATTATTTAGTTTATAATCATGTTAATAATTTTAATTTAAATAAATTTTATTATAATATAAAAGATATTGGAATTTTAATAAATGTAATTAATTACAAATATATGCATTTTTTAAGTGCTTTATAAAGCCCTTTTTTACGCAGCGAATGTGTAAGGCCTTCCTCAGAATTTGTGTTGCAGTGCTTTTCAAAGACCTTTTCTACACAGCGAGTGTGTAAGGCCTCCGATATTGGCTCATCCAGAACAAAAAAGATATAGTAAAAAATACAAGTGTGTAAGTACTACTTACTGCAGAAAAATGCCTTTAAAAAGGCCTTTTAACTCCTTATTTCTGCTACTGGGACAGAAATTCGAAGTACTGACAAACACCAAAACATAAGCTGAAAAAGGCTGCGAATTTCGTTGCTTGAAATTCATGAACTCACATCATACTCTCTTTCCCCCATCATTTATAGGAAACCGGTTTTCAAGTTCATGTTCATGTTCATGTTACATTTATAATAGTGTAAATAGACCCATTGAATAAAATAATGGTAATAAAATACATATATATTTATGTATATATATATATATGTATATATATATATATGTATATATATATATATGTATATATATATATATATGTATATATATATATATGTATATATATATATGTATATATATATATATGTATATATATATATATGAAGTTAATATTACCGAGAAGAACGCCTGCTTTGGTGAGGTCGTGTCTACTACAATTCCATGGGATATCCCTGTGGCCAGGAGGCCTATCAGTGATCTGATGGCGGCTTGGCTATCAGAGAATATTGAGATGGATAAATCAGATGTTCGATTGCTTACAACTTATTTTATGGCATGGTTATTTTATGACGAACCCTGTTGTGTTCGCCGACATACTGCTCTAAAGGATTGAACACTTCCGATGTCGGATGTGATAATCCTAGTTTTGAGGAGAACCTCTACAAATTTTACCAGACTATCGTCAAGCTTTAGCTTTGAAAGGGATTTTACGATACCATAGAAAAGCGAAAAGTTTGTATTCCCTGAGAGATGGAATGGTCAACTTGTGAAATGAGTGCATGAAATGCAGTATCGATAGACTTGCCTTTAGTATATGCATGTTATGATGAAAATAAGAGTACCGAGTTTATAGTATTTCTGATGTGAAGTTCTAGAACCCTCTCCAGTACTTTTAGAAGAAAGGAGGACCAATCAGTCTATAATCCTTGGCACTGCAGTGATTTGTTTTCCCAACTTTTTCGCTCGCCTGTTTGTATAGATCCGTATAGATATTTGTATAGATAGTTGTATAGATATTTTAATATGACCCTGGTACCATCCAGTGTCCTTGCAGCTGGGAGATGGCCCAGGATTAAGGGCAATGATTGGCAATTATTTCTTAAGGAGAGCCCGTTCAACCTTCTTCCAGTTTGCTGAAGAGATGGTCCCATCACTATTGCCAGTGTCAATAATGGCCCAGGGTAAGCTCTCTTTAATTATTTCACTGAGAGCTTTAGAGGATGGGGGTCTAGGAGGACGAAATTTGAGGCGCTTGGACGCGCTTGGTGGCACTGATTTGCCTGCCTGCTCAATCGACCTTTGTCGTTTTTGAGTAGGGGCAGAAATAGATGGGATATTAGTGGGCCGGAGATTGACATCTTTCTTTGCCCACTTCAGTGATGCCTTTTCGCTTTTAGAAAGCGAGAAAGGATCCGCTGCATTAAGCCTGGAAAGAATGCGGTATGCTGACCTGGGCGCCCTATACGCCTCATCGAGGGGTTAGGGTAGGATCGCACACCTGAATTGGAGTTGCTGCTGGTTGCTGATGGAGCGGTTGGCGTTTTAGCTTTGACCGCTGCACCAGCAGAACAGCAAGAGGCAGCACCACCACATGGCACAGTTGCCAAAGTGCTTGACGACGAAGCAATACTTGTTCGATCCACCTGAGGATAAGCTCCAGACGGCTGGTTATTTATAGGCGCTTGCCTTTTAAGGCTTGAACGTCTCCCTAAAGGGTTAAGAATCTTATTTGTATTGAATTTTGATTTTTTCCATGCTAAAACGGTCCCCAATCAAAGCCGCTATCTGGCACCCATGAGTGTAGTTACTGAAAGAGAAGTCCAATGGTTATCTATGCAAGTGCATGGAGTCCATGCGAGGGTTGGCACAGGTCGCTATTGAAACAAGTGCTCAGAGCCAGACCAGAACTAATCGGGAGCTAAGCTATAACCGAACCTACACGACCAACTTACTGGTGATGGATGTAGAACGTACTTTAAAGCCTGCTAGGATTTTAACGCGACGAAGGCAGCTACAGACTTCCTCTGGAGCCGTTCACACGCGAGTGTCACCCCGGTGCTACCGTGTCAGAAGACAGCTAGGTCCAGAAACCTGTAACCACCAGCCCAAGGCGATCGAAAACAAAAAGGAGATCTAAAAAAACGTAGTCTGAGGACGAAGCGGTTGTTACCAAACGATGCTGGGACCCCTGAAGAGGACAGCATCCAGGAAGGGGGATTGATCATTTGGCATTACACAAGGTGAAACACTTGGAGGTGATCTAAAGCTTCACCCTGCTACTTGCTGTACTACTTATATATATCATAACTATTATAGATTATATACGTATCATATGTATAGCAACCATGATAATCTGTTATTTATCGTGAAAAAGCTGTTGTATATATTTATTATTGAAGCCATTAATACTATTATTAAGATTATTATTATTAATTATTAGTATTATTTTTTTTTATTAACTTATTTTTTAATTAATGTATTCGATATATTATAGTTTAATGTATTATAGTTTATAGTTTAATAACTTAATTTATTTAAAAGTTAGACGGATTCGAATAGCAAAGAAAGGACAAACGCAAAAATTTATTTTTAATTTTATTGAAAATTTGGCTGATCATACAACGCTGTTTCGAGTATTGCCAAGTACGCTTCATCAGTGGTCTTTGGAAATAATCGAATTTTATTTAATTAGTTTATAGTCCGTATATAATTTGTTTGGACTGCAAGTGCCAGGCTTAGAACTCGTGCCTGTCAAATTAGAAGCGATGACTAATCGTGTTTATCCACAAGAAGCCAAGGCTGCACAAACTTTCAATGCTCAAGTTCCAGGTTTTATTCTCACTTATTTTTATTTAATTAGTGACAACAACCAAAGCACTTGCCGTGCTTTAAATTAGAACGAGCTTATAAACTACAGCTTTATTTTGGAAACACAAGTTAAACGAATTGAAAGTTAATCTTTGAGCTTGCCTTGTTTTGTTTCAAAGCTATTCTTTTTGTAGAGACATCTGTTATGCATATGTTTTAACTTACTATATGTAAAGCGCCTTTTTTGGGTACAATTTTACAAAGAAGCTATGCAAATGTTTCTCTACAAGTTCGCTAATCGCGTTAAGGAAAAGCTGAACAATATTATTGTTCATATTAAATAGTTTCTTTCGTCATAAAAAGACACGCCATTATCGGCAAGAAAAAATTAACCTTAATTTATTTAATTTTACTCACGCCACTTTAAGATTAATGTTGTAAACCGCACCTGCAAGACCAGATTAACTGTGTTATGTTTTGTGTGTTTTTGAGAGAGAAGGTTGGTCTGATCTGGTAACAATGGTAAAAGTGGCGTGATGGCTTGGCAGAGGTAAAAGAACAAGAGTTAAGGGCAGTTAAGTTTGTTGGAAGACAAAAAGGTTTTGATTGAATTGTAATTTAATAAAATAAAAGTTGGACAAATAAATAAAAATATATAACACTATTAAATTGTAATTTAAAGATTTAAAACTTTAAAGATTGGATTGAATAAAATAAATAAAACAAAATTTGGACAAAAAATATAAACGTATAACACTATTGAGTTGTAATTTAATGATAAATAAGATTAAAGTATACGAAAAAAAACTTATAACAAAGCGTATTTTACTAAACAGGTCCTAAAATGTTTTTTATATTTTATTGAAATATTCTTGAACATTCATGTGTTATATACAAACCCACCGAATTTATTTCATGCGATTCGCATTCTTTTTTTTTCAGACTGATTCTTTCCGGTGCACATACCTTGCAATATTGACTGATAGACGTGATTTAAAGCACATTTAATGCGCTTCGAGAACGCAGCGCTTACATCCAATCAAACGGCAATGTAAAAAAGATGCCTTATCTGCAAGGAAAACCATGCGTTTCATTGCTATTCTTCTTCTTTATTTGCCAATTCGATTACGAATATTGGTGATCATATAACATAACATAATACTATATTGATTAATTATAACATAATAATAATTATAACATAATACTATATTGTTTGATTAGCTTTTAATAAACACAATTACAAATTTTTAACTATTTCTGCGTATTGCTCTCTGCATCTAGCTATATTTATAAGGCTGCCAACCTCTCGTATTTGAGTCAATTGACGAATGTTTTGCAGCCATGAAAATCGTTTCCTATCAATACCGCGTTAGTCTTCGATTGTTTCTTGAATAATTATTTGGAGTAGCTCATATTTTGAATTTCGCATAATATGTCCCTGGTAAGCTGTTTTTCTTCTTTTTATAATTGTTAACAATTCGCGATCACACCTCATTCTTCGTAACACTTCATTATTTGTAACATGATCTGTTACAAATAATGGAATTTTGAGAATTCTCCGATAAATCCATAACTCAAATGCTTCGAGTTTGTTAATATCAACAATTTTCAAAGTCCAGGTTTTCATGACGTATAGAAGTATAGACCAGATATAGCATTTTACAAAACGGATTTTAGTTTTAATATTGAAATCATGACTATTAAGCACTTTTTTGTATCTAAGAAAAGTTTTTCTTGCTATTTCTATTCGGCATTTGATCTCTTTGGAACAATTCCAATTTTCATTTACATAGCATCCAAGATATTTAAAATGCTGTACTCTTTCTATACCAATATTATTAACCATTAAATTTGTGTTGCTATATATATTCCTTCGGCTTACAATCATATATTTTGTTTTATATGATTGTAAGCAGTCTGTTTCAGTTTTTTGTGTAGATTGAAGTCATCATGTAGTGATGATCGTTCAATTTCTTGGCATTCATTATTTACCCAAACTATTTTTTCTGTACGGATCTTACTTCTGATGTCTCTGTTTAATTGCCAATATAGATCTTGTTTTGTATTTTTATACTGACGACGTTCATTTATTAATTTCACTATATCTTCGGTCATCCAATGATTTTTTATTTCTTTCCTATATGATCCAAGAATTTCTTTCGATGAAGATGTAATCGTTGTTTTCAGTTGCTCCCATATATTATTTGGGTTCCTAGAATCAATACTACTAATGCTATGATTTATTTTATTTTTTAATGAACATTTTATGACATCATTTCGTAGTTTTTCTAAGTTGAGTTTAAGGCTTGGTTTCTTTTTGAGATTTGATGCTAATCTTATGCAAATTATCGCCATTAGAAGGTTATGATCAGATGGTACATATGCCCCCGGGTAAATTGTAACTTTCTTAACTGAAGAGCAAAAACGATCATTAATTAGGATGAAGTCTATTTGATTTCTGATAATGTTATCAGGAAGGTATTAATAGCACTATTAAAACGCTTGGATAACTGCTGTGTACATATACAATTTTTCAAATATTGTGACATATGATTACCGTGATGTTTTAATATTTTGTTTTAATGTGTTAGTGCTGATCGCCTATAGTGATTTGTGCATCGATAGCAAATAACTAAAGAGCAAAAAAATGAAAAATTTCTTTTTCCTTGTCTTAGTTGATTAACTTGATATCTCTACATTTAATATTTACCCTTCATTAGGGAGTTATAGGGAAAGAAATATATTTTCTTGAACCCACCAGTAATTTATTTATTAGGGAACTAAATCGATTTGAATGCAATTGAAATTAAAATGATTATTTGTTTTAAATTTTTTTTACAATAATTAGTTTTAGTATATATTAAATTATAAAATTCTTTTTAAAATTTTTTGTATATTCAATATACTATTTTTGTACTTTATCGGGTTCGTCCCATTCTTGGCGCTCGCCTGTGGCCCAAATAGCAAAGATAATGCCAGATGCTACAAGAATAAAAAATGCAATCCAAAACACTAAACGCCACTCCCGCATTGTTGTCTATATAAAATAGGACAAATATAATAAGTATTATTATTATATATTAGTATATAACATTTTTAAATGTGCAATGAAAATACAGTTAAAACATAGTTTAGGTAAATACTTACGTTAGGTGTCATCAAACCTACAGTTGATGGAGCTATAATTCCCGTAAAACAGCCAAAACCATTTGATATAGCCATTATTATCCCACAATAATTCCGACTCATATCGATTGGAGTCAGCTTCATACCAGCGAAATAGGGACCCATCAAACCCATCCCAATCGTAAAAGACGTTAAGACCAAAAAACGATGACAGCCTGCATAAGATGCCAAGATCACAAACACTGAGGATCCAAGTCCAGCTGTAAATGCAATCAAATAATGATTGAGTTTCTATTTCAATGTTCGTTAAATTAACTGACATAGTAAGGTATTAAATTTACGAATGGTTGTTATATTAACAGCGCCGTTTTTAATTATAACGTCACTTAAAAATCCGGAAAAAACTGAACAAATCCACATAACACCAAATGGTAAAGACGAATAGAATCCATTTTTTTCAATGGGCATCTGAATCACATCATTTAGATATTTCGGTAAATCGGTTGCAATTATGTAAAAACCCCAATCATGCCCTATTTGAGAACAAATTAATGCATAAATTGAACAGGTTGAGAATATAGAACCCCATGGCGTTGGGGGAAGATCATGTCTACGAGCAATTGATCCCATTTCAGCAAGAAGATAATCTTTTTCCTCCTTCTTTATAAATGGATGGGATGCAGGATCACTATAGCAAAGTAGAGCCTTAAATAACACGATTATCAGTTATAAAAAGTAATATCTAGATACAACAATATACTAACAAATAATATGCACCAGAGTAACGCCACTGACCCAAATATATAAAACACAAGTTCCCATCTAAAATGTTTCAATACAAATCCACTTATTGTATTTCCAACAATTGCACCAACTTGTCCCCCACCAAGAACAAGTGCTCCAATTAAACTTCGTTCAGTCATCGGCACCCATTGGGCGATTAAGCAACTTAATGCTGGAAATGTTGTACCTTCACCTAAGCCCATTAAAATACGTAAACAGATTAATCCATATGCTTCAAAATTTACTGTACACCATGGTGTGGCCAAGGTAAAACAGGCTGTGCTCAATATGCCAAATATTAAAATCCACTTCCCACCAAATTGTTGAGCTAATATTCCACCAGGTATATGAGTTAGAAGATAACCTACATAAAAAGATGAAAGTATATACCCTTGTAACTCTTGTGACCATTCAAACTCGCCGCCGGGAAGCTATGAACATAGAAAAATTTTTGAAAATTTCTTATGAGAAAAGTGTTAATAGCTCTCCTATAGTATATATTATACAACACTTACAAACTGCCGATTTCGCATTTCCAAAATTGGACACACAAATTGTCTTTCCAAAGTTTCTTTACTGTAATTACGAGGCACGACCAACTGAGTTATAACGACGGAAAGACAAGTACGCATTGTGTAAGCATTGAATATCGCAAAAAAGCCCATAAGACCAAATACATATCTCTGTGGAAATATAAAAACTAAAACGAAATCAAAATTACTCTTTAGTATCACGTTATTATATAAAACCAATTTCTCCAAATCAAAGACAGAATTACCACAGCATATATCAGAATATCTAGACATTTATAGGAAATATTGTTTCTTATAACTTTTATTAAAGTAACAATTGCAGCTGCCCAGAAATTATGCACATTCCACACTACTTTTTCACTTAACTTAGAGAAGCAGGTATCATTATGTTTAATACCTGCTTTGATTTCATTATATTGTATATTGTGTTAATGGAGACTTACATTTCGAACAAGTTCTTTTCCATTTAGATTGATCATTGTTGACATCCATATTTGTACACTGCTACAGATTAACAATTTAGGATATTACAAAAAAAAATTTTTTTTACGTTAATCAAAATAAAATATTTATAATTGACGGGTAAATCAAAACGGAAATTTTTGCCTTCTTATATATAATGTTCGAAAGTTATCCTAATGCAAAAATCTATCTGAGACCTCATAATTTAGTACTCAACGCATATTAGGTTACAGAAATCATATGATATGAAGAAATCACTCTATTTGAAACCACAATTGGTATGGAACGACTCGGTAGGTTCTTCCCAATTCTATGACCCGTTTATGGCCTTAATGATTTCACATTGTCTTATTATTTTTGCAAAAATACTCAATTTAGTTATAACACAGAGAGAAAAGCATTTTCTTATAATATCAAAAGTGAACCTAAAATCAGCAATTAAATTATGTAGAAAGATAATGTCGTACAGTAATTACATCTGTCAATGTTGAAGTCATACCTGACTTTATAATAAGTGAGTTGATGATTGACTACATCTTTAATATTCGTAAGCGATAACACGATCAGTATTTCAATTTACATGATCGCTTTGGTTCCGAATTGGGTGTAACAATTCAAATTCAAACCATTGGAAATACATACATACGACCATGATTTGTTACTTAGTTGTAGTATTCATTTAAATAACTCTAGACTACAGTTTTACAGCTTTATTTTTAGGTTGCGTAGCCACCTACTAAAACACAGTCAAAAAGCGATACAAAAATAAAATATAAGTTTTACAATTTCGTAAATTTGAAAACGATCCATGGAAATTTACAGTCAGCTTGTTATTTTTACCTCTACAAACTCTGATTATAATGGTTTATTGATTTGGTTTCTTTTCTATTAATGTTCCTTTTACCCAGCAATCGAAGCTACTTATATTAATATCTTTCTGTTTATTCCATCTTCAAGCATGTTTATTTCATGTTTGTCTTACATTTTTACTTAGCAATAACGGAAGCTCTGTGATACTACCGATTATGTCAGTCAGTTTTTTCTTGACTGTGATAGCCAATCGCCTATTATGTGGGAGTTAATATAGAATATAAAATGTGGTTCCACTGCGTACATATATCAGTTTCTTTAGATTTATGATATAGGTGAAATATTAGGAAACCGAGTAACGAATTTATTAATTTTTGGTTTTGACTGCAGTTTTTGGGCTGTAACAAGTTAGTCATCCGAACTGGTATTTGCTTCACAGGTAGTGCATACACTGTAAGGAAGGAAATATTCACATATTTCCAACCTAAATAGATTCAATAAAAACAACAACAACACTATACTAATAACTTCAAAAGACATTTTTAGTTACAGATCACAACACACTATGTTTAACACGCAACGATTTTAATATAATCTAAAATCAAATAGATTAATTTTATTTAATATACAGTCATAGTCAAAAGTATTTACACAACGAAAGTTTTTGTACATATTGCATTAAAACATGTTTTTATTGTTGTTGTTGAACAAAAGTCAAAGCATGAAAGCTTTGGTTAAACTAAATACAAAGCACGGCGAATTCAAGAACACACGAAAACACAAAGCACAGAAATTACACCGAGGCGAACAACAGTAACAAAAGACAACAAGTATCAAAAATACCAACTGTACCGATGCGCTACAGGAAAAGCTTTGGTCGTTTGAGTATAAATAAACGCGCATTGTACAAGCAAGGGTGCTTGTTGGAAAACTCTCAAAGGTAATAATACCTTTGATAATAACTGTGAAACAAGTTAGTAGTCTCGTATAGCGTCAAGGTAGTACATAGGTCTTGACTAGTAGTCTTGTATAGCGTCAAGGTAGTACATACGTTTTGACTAGTAGTCTTGTATAGCGTCAAGGTAGTACATACGTTTTGACTAGTAGTTTGGTAAAACGTCAAGCCAACAACGTTTTCTCCTACCATAAGGACTCGCAAGAGGAATGTGATGTGCTCGTGAACATTAATACAACGCCTAGACAACGGCTAAGTATACCTTAGCGTCATCAGCGAATTAGATTGTAAAACCTTATGTTATTTTAAATTCTCCTAAATAAATAATTGAATTACTAGATCACATTGTCTTTCACTTCCAAAATAAAAACTTTATTGCAACGACTCCTGGACAACGGCTAAATATACCTCAGCATCATCAGCGACAAAAAGTGAGTCGTTACAACACACAACTCACTACAAGTTTTCGTCTCTTTATTATGGATCGATTTTTTTGATGGAGAGACAATCGTGTTGTCTGATTCAAATTTTGTCGAGATAAGGCTACCTTAAGAAGGCTGAACTATTCGATAAGAGGCTTAAATGAGCTTATAGTCCCTCAGACGGCCCACGTGATGGTTAAGTTTCAACTTGAAGTAAAAACTTTGTCTTATATATATTGACTCTTTCTTTTATAAAAAAAAGTGGAGTCAGCATATAAAGCGAAGTGCTATTAACCGTGATTCCAAAAATATTATAAAATGCCTGTGGGTTTTTTTTTACTTTGTCCTGTGTTTAACTTCCTATACATTTAACAACTATTATGTTCAATACGCAAATTATCCTGTTCATTTCTTAATCTTAAATTATAATAAAGTTTGAATTAGGAACTTATTAATTTTTAATGGAAAATCGTTTTCGATCTCATTATTTTGAATCTACGAGTTGAATAACAGTTTTTTGATAAAAAGACCTTTTTGCTTGAACCGGATTTTTATTTAGTACGTATACACATTTCCTTTGATTTCAGCTTATAATGTATTTATTAAGTTTAGATTAACGAGTTTAAAATTGTTGCCGGAATTCATATAGGTTTAATCGATACTAAATAACATAGAAAATTATAAATAGAGAATTCTTAAAAATAATAATTGAATTATAAATTTATCAGAATTATATATTTATAATTTTCTATATATTACTTTAAAATTTGTTATAATTTTTAAGGAAAATTTTTTTTGCTAGAAAACTTAATTATTTTAATCCAGAAATAAAACATTGCGTACTGGTAATTTCTGCCTGTGGAATATAGAAAAGAATTAATTAATTCGCTAATCTCTGTAAAGCAAAAAGTTATAAGAAAATTTATGTTACGTGCATATCTAACTTAAATATCAGTTTTACATAAAACACTAGTATATTTTTTGACTCCAAAGCAACTGCAGGAATAGTTTCGAAGACGGCCATTTTGGTGATAGAAAATTCATCGCAAACGGGAAGCATAGTTCCAGACAGAATGCAACTGATAGTACCGCAGATACAACTAATATATATCAGCAGAATTCTATTCTTAACGATGTTCTTTAAATATCGCGGAGTGATGAGCGCTAAAAATATAAATATTTAAATTCATTATCTATTTGTGTGAAATCTATATTTCAAAAAGAAATCAAGTATATGGGTCATTCTTTTACAACTCGGACACCTTTTTGACCTCATGATCTCCGATTTGACTGAAATTTTTTTTATGAGTTCCTTTCATAAAATAAGAAGACCCGTATCTCGGGAAAAAATTTTGTGATTTTTTTCCTAGGAGATATGGACCCATGGGGTTTTGAGAATTGGCATAGTAGATACATTTTCAAATGGCTATATCTCAAGTTCTATAAAAGATAGAAACCTGAAATTTACAGCGTTTCAAAGATAATTGATTGAACTTTTATAAAATTGTTTAAACAATTAAATTTGTTTATATTTAAATACTAATATTAACTATTCAATTTCAATAAAAAATGTTTCTTAAAATATATCCCCTAGGATTTCATTTTTTATATTTTATTTAGATTCAGTTTTAAATTTTACTACTAAGTAAAAATTTTTAGGATGCGGTTATTTTTTAAAATTTTTTAATATTTTTTTTTCTCCCGCAAAACACATCAAGCACATGCGGACTACATTGCCATTGAATGAATTTTCAAAGAATATACTACATTTATTCTTATATAATATTTTTGATTTCGATTAGTAATAAAATTCTATATAAAACTCAAAAGTTTCAGGACGATATTGTAATCAGAAGTACTTTTAAAAATTTATTAATACTTCATATCACACCAAACACATACACACGATTTTTTAGTAAAAAAAAAAGAAATATGTCACACAAATTTTTTTTTTATTTTTGATTCAAATTAATATATAAATTCTTTTTCAAAAATAAATATTTCTGCTGTGATATTCATTTTAGAAGTAATTAAAAAAAATTAATTAATCAGATATCCTTCACGTTACTCACACGCACCAAAGTACCATGAAATCAATTTTCGAAGGAAAACGATACAAAAACTTTTACTTTTTATTTCTGAATTGAGTTTATCATTAAATTCTACATAAAAATAAAACTTTTAAGGACGTTAGTATTCTCAGAAATATTTTTATTGAATAAATAAATCACGAATTTAAAATTTTTAATATTCCTGCGGATAACTCTAGGAATAGCGATGAAGAAGATGACTCGCTTCAATTTTAAAAAATCTGCAGGAAAAGTTTAATGGCACAGCAGATAGAACTATGAAAATAAAAATAGTGGGTGTGATACATAATTGGTCTGTCCGAAAGGGTCACGACTTACTTCTCAAACGCTACAAAATGTATGACTACTCTTCCTAAAAAACTTACTTGAGAGAAATGAATCTTAGAAGACCCAAATCCAAAAAGCCACCGCTAGGAAAATATGTAACCAATAGAATTTTAAATTTTTACGAATGTGAAGAAAACAGTCAAGTAATGCCTGGGAAAAAAAATCTGCGTGTCCTTACAAATTGACGCAAAAAGAACACAAATGCGAAAACGGTCCATTCTAAACAATTTGATGAAGTTGCATTATCTTTTTAAACTCAACCATCCGGATCTTGAATGTAGTTTTTCAAAATTTGCATCTTTACGACCACAACATTGTGTTCTTGCAGGAGGAAGCGGCACACATTCAGTTTGTGTGTGCTCCATACACGGAAACGTACAATTAATGGTAGATGGAATGATTATAAAAGCACTGACTGGATGCAGTAGAATGCCGATAAATAACTATAAAG